TGCCCCACCACTTGCTATAGCTCCCCTATCCTAACTCATTAGAACCAAGTCCAACCACTGATGTTCAAAAGATAGAAAAGAAGGTAACAGATACTACCCCCTTCCCCCTTCCCCAAAGCACTGAGCTGGGGTAAGCAATGGGTTAGCAAGTGGTATTTCCCAAGGAAGGAATTTAATAAAATCTGAAATCGAGCCAAAGCTAGGAAGCATGCTGGGGTCTTGAAGTTGTTTGTCTATAGAAAGGTGGGAAGGGATTGAGTCCTGGCTTCCAGGAGGAGGCCGCTGTGTCCCTCTCCTCTCCGTGGCTAGTGTAGTTCCTGGAGCCTTGCTTCTGCAGGCACAGAGTCACCTTATTGCCTTCGCTTCCCCACTTCAGAAGGAGAAATGGGGCTCAAAGGAGACCGACCGTCATCTTGACATGTATTCTAATCATGAGGTGAACTTACCTGACCTTCAGGATCGTCAGCCAAAGCTTGGGCTTTAAAATGAAAACAATTGTATTAATAAAGAGAAAGCTAGCACTAGGGGCTAAATGCTGTCCAAGGGTCTTGACACCTGCCTGGCTTTCCTTTATGGGGTAAGCTTCAGAGTTGTACATTTAGAGACCTGGGATGACCAGACTTGTCACAGAAATGAGTGGAGGATAGGAATAAAGTACTGGGGATGCTGAGGACTGGGGCAGAATGGAATACTTAGGTGCGGTCAACAACAAGTGTGGCTGCCATGTTGGAATCTGGGACCTGGATCAACCCAACTCCTAGGTACTCAAGAGAAGCTAGAAATGGGGGTATTTTTTGTGAAATTTCTAACCTAACAACACTGACTGAAAGTAAACAATGCCAATTTGTCAACTTTTGTATGAAATGAGAAATGCTTGTGTGGGGGATCCTTTGTTCGTCTGCATTGTGCTGTTCTCCCAACCCTCAAAGCTCTGTGTGCCTGTTGCCTAAACACTGCTTGGCCATTCAGAGGGAATTACAGTTTGACACCATTTTCTGAAAATGTGGAATTCGGAAGGTAAAGCCTTGTTGCTCTTTCTGGGCTGGCCTCTGTGACCATCTATGTCTATTCTTTAAATTCAGAAGAAGTCAGTTACCCATCAGGAAAATGGAAATAATTCATTCCTTTAGGAAAAGACAACACAGAACTTTAAGCAGTGTTGTTTTAAAAAGTCACTTTGCTTATTTAAGAACTTCTTGTAGAGATAAATGAAGTGCTTTCAGCGGGGTGCTACCCATGAAGAATGGATATGAGAGACTTGGGAGTTTAATATTTAATGGCATTTGTATATGACATTTGGGAAAACTTGACAAATAAGGAACACTGTGATAAATAAGACCCTAGCACCCCCACTGCTGATCAAATAACAAATATTCCCAGCACACAAAAATTGAGAGAAGATTTATTACACGAACACATACAGCTTAGACATCACAAATGCAGGTATGATGGAGAGCATTTGGTTTTCTCATTTCTGCATCTGCTTCTCTTGCATTGCACTCTAAGAAAACATCTATGTTTTAAGGAAACATCAATGGCTGGGCTGTGTCTTCAGAGGCATCAGTGTGTGGAAGAGCTGCCTGTTTCTACAAAGACTTACATTCTGCAAACCATGCTGCTCAACAGTAGGCTGGCACTGTTGAGTACAGTGTGCTGGTTCAAGGTGGTCAGCCAATTTAGCTTTATTTTCATGGTACCACTGTTTGGCCCCTGTTCCCAATTCAGGAAACAGGGACAAAGGACAGAGACACAAATACAGTGCATGTGTGCTTGGGGTAGGCAGTGGTGAATGACAGACCTGCCCAAAGGAGAATATGGCATTGCTGGTCCTTGTAGAGTTCGGATTCTTTATTGCCCTTCTTATTGCTTAGTCACACATCACAAATGTGGGCCTGATTGAGGGGACTTTTTTTTTTTGCCTCATGAAACTCACAATTCCTAAACCAAGTAAATAATAGCAGTAGTAACTTTCATTCACTGTTGATCCTTTGCTAAATATTTCCCATGTAGTACCTCATCACATTTGTCCAAGAACACTTCTCAATCAGGAAATGAGGGAACAGTGATTATCATGTAAGTTCTTCAGAATGTATTGACAGAATTGCCAGGTTTTCTCTCTGCACTCTGTGCATCTGTACATGTGGGGTTGACATTTCCCTTCACCTGAGTTCAGACTCCAATAGCATATGAAGTTCTTGGAGGCACATACACATATGTGTCTTTCTGTATCCATATCACAGTTGGAATGATACTAGAAATAGAGCAGGTGCTTGACGGAAGTTAGAGATTCTTTGTAATGATGTTCGTGGTTGTTGTATAGAAGAATCCAGTCTGTTAGACTACAATTACCCCACAATTAACTACCAGTTGATTGTTTGATAGTTCTCATCTGCTCTGCCTTATGCTATGTCTGTAGTTGGTTCTAAAGAAGTAAAAGACTTGGCTTCTTTTCTTGAGGAGCTGGAATTCAACTCTGAGACCTGGCTAAGAAGGAACATGACTTGCCCTATGGGTTAGAGGGATACCCAGGACCTTCCCTGGGCTATGCATCTTTTGCTGCAAGGCATCTATAGGTCTGAAAGTCATATACCCCTTCTTCTAAGCCAAGTCCCACCTATTCAGGGTCCCCGATCACACTTCCAGGGTCTGACCCTCCAGGTCAGAAAATACTCTTCAGCTTGCAGGGTGACCAAGGGGCCTCTGCCTGCAGGGCGGAAGGTGGTTAGGGCTGCAACCGAAGACATCCACCTGGGAGTGGGAGGCGATGGTGCCAGATACCCTTCGTCTTCTCTATTCCAAGTACCCTCAGAAGTTCTCAAATTCTAACTTTAATGCTGGACTTCTCAAGCATTGTGAAGTCACATTTGTTCAAGTTGGGGGCGAGAATTCTTATTTAAGAGCTTGTTAAGTTGATCTAAAAATCTTTTAATGGTTAGATTTATGGAAGGAAGGCCTCCATTTGAACTCTTGTTCCAAACCCTGCACATGATGGTTAGAGCAGGCTCTGCCAGAGGGGATCTGGTCATCTCTTGAATGTGTTTCAGTTCCTGGGGCTGGCTTCTTTGTAAACATCCTTGGAAACTGTGGGGATGTCGGCATGCAGATGGCTGCGTTCTGCACTTCTGGAGAGGTGTTAAACATGTCTCTATTAACAAACACCTCGTGGACTTGTTTCCTTACCTAAAACACTTTGGATAATTTTTCTCCTGTCGAGTGGCTCTCCACCCACAAATGCAGAGTCAGCTGACAGCAATTTCAAAATTGCAGGCCTCTCTGTTGATGGAAAAATGGAAGCGTTGTTATTCCTTGTGTGTAATTTTCCCCAAGAAAATGGAGGACTGGATTTAATGTCAACACTTAGAGATTTAACGTGGCCCTGTTACTGGAAAAATATACCTTTAGCCAAATTTGGACTCACAACAATGGTTGCATTGTTGTGTTTTCTGTCCCGTCCACATCTGCTATTTCCAAGGAAAACGGGACTTGAGGAGAGGTCCAGCTGCAGACAGGACCCTGCTTTCTTTTGCTGCACAGCTGGGTCTGCCTCCGCCCACAGGATCCGCGCGTGCGCGTCTGCTGTTTCTCAAGGCACTTGGGTGGAAGGAGCTGGGACAAGAGCAAGAGGAGAGAGTTGGGCCGGACGCATTCTTGGTCTCTGCTCACTAGCACAGCAGGGAGGGATGGGCTGCTCTGAGCATCTGGTCACTGTGGGGTGGCCCGGCCTGATTTCCTTTCACCACCCCAAAAAAGGCTCCATGGAGTGTGTTTCTAAAGAAAAGAAATTCAATTTGGTTTTATTTTGAACATGCAGAGAGGATGTGAGGGCCCTCTTTGAGCTGGGTAATTGGTGGTACTCCACGGACCTCATTGAAACCCAGGTGGCTCCATCTCTGAGGACAAATGAGAAAACCAAGACTTACTGGAAAAGTAGCTCTGTTTCTTGGAGTTATTAGTAATTTGTCCCCTAAGTCATGTTCAGTTCTATTAATGAATGAGGCATATGGCATTAACTCCCCGCCCCCCCAACTGGCATTGTCTTTCCTCTCCTTTGGAGAGCGATGGTTTGAATATACATAGGCATAGGAAACATATTTTAATAGTCATTGCTCCAAGCAACACCCCTTCCCACGTTGGCCATAAACAGAAGTGGTCAAGGGTTTCAGACTTTTTTTGTTTCAAAAGCAAGTTTCCCAAGAGCAGCTCGGGCTTCAGCCATCCTGCCAAGCCTGCGTCGCCGCCTCCTGGAGGGCACAGTGTTCTTTCTGATGTGTGTGTCTTTGAGGAAGTGGTGTCCACAGGCCGGGGTGCATTCCTGATGACCTTTGTTGTATTCGTTGCCATCTCTGTGCACACAGCAAGTTCTGCTCGGTGCCCTTGGAAGAAGCTCAGTTCGTGGTCGACTTGCTGGGGACAGCACCCCCAGTGGGGTTGGCTATAGGAGCCTCATGGGTCCAGAGGTCTGAAAGTCCAGGTGCCCAGGCCGGGTGCTGGAGCTGGGGAGGTGGGCGGGGCCAGCCTGGGGTCACCCGGATGCTCTTGTCAGGAGCTGGGGTGGTGGGAAGCTGGAGACCCTCCAACTGTTCTTCATTATTTCTCTCCTGCAGGGAGCGACCTGGAGGCCCTGATTGGGCTCTCCAGGATAGGAGCCTGCCCTGAAGGATCCATCTTTTTGGTTTGATCTAGAAAAGGCTGAAACCCTGCCACGTGCTGGGGAGCCCGGGGCACAGGGGCACCTTGCCCGTGGGATACCTGTCCTCCTCCCTGTCTTTCCAATCCCTCCCTCCACCCTCTCTTGCTTCCTAGGGGCTGGGGAGCCGGCTGGCTGTCTTCTGGCTGGTGTAGTTTGTGCTCTGCTGGGGGTGGGGGGAAGCAGAGACCCTGCCAAGCCTCACACAGGGGACCCTGGAGGTCCATGTTGGGAGGAGGGGAGGAGGCCTGGGGGCCCTGGAGGTCCGTGTCGGGAGGAGGCCCTGCTGCCCTGACCTCACTGTGCTTTGCAGGCAGACGGTGCCCTATGGACTCTCCAACTACAGAGGAAGTTTCCGGGGCAAACGCTCCTCAGGGACCGTTCCAGGGAGCGCCCCACCCTCCACGCAGACCCCCTCGCGCTGTGCTTGCGTTGGGAGAGATGACAGGGCATGCAGACGCTTCTGCACGCGTCCCCTGGGCGTCAGCAGGTACGAATCCCATGCGCTGCCAGACTGGGGGCCTCTCGAAGGTGGCTGCAGAGGGGCTCAACCAGGTCTGGCTGCCCAGGAGGAGGAGGTTACCGAGCCCAGAGGCTGTTGGCCTTCCTGTCTTAGAGGTTGGGCGGCACAACATCCCGACGTGGGCTGCCTTTTGGGAGGGAGGCCATGCATGGGCACAGCTCTGTCTGTTTTGCTTCCATGTTGACTTTCAGCAGCAGGTTGCACAGATCCAGACACACTGTCCATTTTGAAGCTTGGTAGACCCAGCCAGCCTCCCAAATGCACATTTTTCTGCTTCTTCATAAACAGCACCTGGCCCTTCTGGCCCCACTGCCCCCTTTCCCCGAAGATAGCAAGGCCCTATGCACCTGGGGGTCCTGTCTGTCTGCTCTAGCCACCTGGAGAAGGCATGAGTCATTCTAGCAGGTGAAGCAGCAGCCCGGGCCAGATTCAGGCTGACCTCCTTACAGACTGGTTTGTGAGGCAGGTATCCTGCCAGTGGTCTCCGTCTCCCTCCCTTCATTTTGTGCCCAGACTCCACAACCCAGCCCTGTGCAGCATCCCCTTCCAGCCCACCCCCGACGGCTCATGTTGGGGATGTGGCTGTCACATCCCTCCCGACTGAGACGAGCCCCAGCAGGACTGGTCCACAGCCACCGGGTTCTAGGGCCTGCTGTCTGGAAAGCCCAGCATGAACAGCACTTTCTCTCCTCTTCCTGGGCTTGGAAACATCTGATGAGTAAGCGGGGAGTGTGTGCTGTACTTTGTACACACCCACCCACCCACCAAGCGCTCAGCACTCGGGATCCGTGCCTGAGTTGCAGTCCCTGGGGAATGTGCTAATGCGCTCGTTGGTGGGGAAGAGGAAGTCATAATTTGACACTGAAAAAAAACAGCCACATGGAAATGCAGGCTGACTCATTAAAATCAGCTTTTTCCCCCACAGTGACTCCAGGGGAGCCGAAAAAGCAGATAAAGAAAAGAAAGGGAAGGCTGGTGGGGCCCGCAGAGGCCTGCGTCAAAGGTGAACGTGTGGGTGCCTTCCTTCTCAGGGCATGGGTGGTGTCCGGGATCAGACAGTAGCCATGGGGACCCCAGTGCTGCACTCAGAGTTGACAGTGATTTGGGGGCCCATTGACTCTGGAGACAGCACAAGCTGAAGCTGGGGACAGTCCCCATCACATCCATGGCCCTGTTGAGCCTGCTGTGCATTCTATCTAGTTCTAGGCAGGGATGCCTGGCATGGACCTCACTGGGCCCAAACAAGCCAGCTGCTCCACTTCCCAGAGCTCCCACAGCAGGGGTAAAGACAGCCTTTGAGCTGTCCTTCTGATTTTCCAGCTCATTTATTTTCTTTCTTCTTCCTTCCTTCCTTTCTTTTTTTCTCTATTTCTTTCTTTCTCTTTCTTTTTTCTACTTTTCTCTCTCTCTCTCTTTTTTTTTTAAACTTGCTGTTTTTTGTTTGTTTGATTTTTGGCAGTCGTGGGGCTTGAACTCTGGGCCTGGGCACTGTCCCTCAACTCTTCAGCTCAAGGCTAGCGCTCTGTCACTTGATCCACAGCGCCACTTCTGGTTTTCTGGTGGTTCATTGGAGATAAGAATCTCACGGACTTTCCTGCTCAGGCTGGCTTTGAACCTCGATCCTCAGATCTCAGCCTCCTGAGTAGCTAGGATTATAGACATGAGCCACGGGCGCCTAGCTGCTCTTTTTTTTTTTTTGAATGAGTAGTCCTGAGGGTTTTCTTCAGCCAACCTGGGGTTATTTGTCCTTCTGTCAATCAGAAATCATTGATGACTTGCCAGCGCATCTGCACAGCATGGTAATCTATGTTCATGGTAATCTATATTCACGGTTATCTGTGTTCACAGTCACCTATGTTCACAATCATCTCTGCATGGTAATCATCTATGTTCATGGTCATCTATGATCTATGTTCGTGGTAATCATCTTTATGTTTACGATCATCTATGTTCACTATCATCTATGTTCAGAGTCATCTATGTTCATGGTAATCATCTATGTTCATGGTCATCTATGTTCACTATCATCTATGTTCAGAGTCATCTATGTTTATGGTCATCTATGTTCACTGTCATCTATGTTCAGAGTCATCTATGTTCACTATCATCTATGTTCAGAGTCATCTATGTTCATGGTATTCATCTATGTTCATGGTCATCTATGTTTATGGTCATCTATGTTCACTGTCATCTATGTTCAGAGTCATCTATGTTCATGGTAATCATCTATGTTCAGAGTCATCTATGTTCATGGTAATCATTTATGTTCATGGTCATCTATGTTCATGGTCATTTAATGGCCCAGCGGCAGTTGGGAACCCTCCACGGATTTATCAAGGGAGGTTAAACCACATCCAGTGTACAGGTGGCTTTCCAGATTGGTGGCTGATCACTTCTGGTGGTCTGGAGAGGGATCTGTCAGCATCCATAATAAAAATGGGGAGTGGGGGGCAGGGCAGATGCAGAGGACAGGTCTCCCAGGGGAGTGCGAGTCAGACCCCAGCTGCCCTTCACTTGACCTTTTCATTCTGCCTTACTCTAAACTAAGACTCTCAATGAGGGTGGGAGTAATTAAACTATCCCTCCGTTCCATCATGTATTCATTCACTCACTCACTCAGCAAAGCACCTGCTTTGTGGAGACACTGTTCTCCCTGTTGGGGACACCACAAAGGGTCTGCAAGGAGCTTAAATGGTGGTGTAAACAGATAGCAAAGAAATAGATACAATGTAGGTGAGCAGCAGAGGACAGGGCAGCAGGTTGAGAGTGGCTGTGATTTGTGACTGAGCAACCAGGAATAGAATCATTGGCCAGGTGACCTTGGCACAGAGACCTGAAGAGGTCAAGGGGTGAGTCACAGGGATGAGCAAGAGCAGGGGGGAACAGGAAGTGCAAAGGCCCTGGATATATCCCTAGAACAGCTAGCAAGGGAACCTGGTGCAGAAAAGGCAGAGGGTTTTGAGGATTTTGCTATTATGGTTTGTCAATACCTTTCTGTACCATGTTTCTAAGATGCAATTCAAATTGGCCAGGTGTACAGGTGTGGCCTCGGAAGGGGGGTTTCCAGGACTTTATGATTCAATGAAGCTCCTGGAGGAGCAGTCTTTCATGATACCACAGTCCCTGCCTTCCTGCAAGACTAGAGTTTAGAAATACCAGAGACACGTTCATGAGTGCAGCTATTAAACCATCCTTGGATGGTGATAGTCAGAATTGGAGCCGGGCTACAAGAGGCCTTCTGCCAGGTGCCCTGCTGGGACCTTTCTGCTCACCTCCCCCTTCTGCTGGCAGCTCTGAGAGGTGTTGGTGAGGGGACAGCCAACCCAGAGTCAGCTTTCCCAGTGAAGGAGAGCAACTCTCCTAACTAACATACCTCTCTTTTCTTTTGTCCCTTTTGCTGGAGACAGGTTGAAGTCAAAGGCCAACAAAGCATGTAGGCCTTAGGCGGCCTCCACTGCTGCTGATCCCCAGTGGACTTTGCCCTCGCTGTCCCTGTCGACGACCCTCCATCTCTTCCAAGAAGGAGTTATTATTCCTATACAGTTCAGATATCCACCCTTGTAGACACAGTGAATTTACCTGGGGCAGATCACTCATCCAGTAGACCCCCCGCCCTACTTAACAGTTTCTTCTACTCCATGAATGCCCACATCCAAATGCCCCCAGCCGCCTAAATGGGTAAAATGATCCCAGATGTGCCCCAGGGCCAGATGCCTGCGGCTCCAGTTTCACAGGAAATTGGTTTTAGAGACGTATGGTGAGTGGGAATTCCACTTAGTGGGTTTTGACATGATTCCTCTTGGAGAGTAAGTGCACACCAGGCTGGCCCTTTACAAAGATAAACATGTGTCCGTCAACTTCTGAAGACTGCACGCTATGTGTGAGTTAGTAATAATGCCAGGCATCAGCTTGAAACTGGGATCATAGCCGTAGTTTATGAATTAGCAGCTTAGAGGACTTAGATATTTTCAGCTGTACTTGGGACTCATTAAAAGACTACATCTCAAAAGAGAAGGAGAAGGAGGAGGAGGAGGAGGAGGAGGAGAAAAAAGAAGCAGCCTGGATGTTTGTGGGGGGAAAAAAGGAGAAAATGTTTTTTGATATCCAGCGCGGGGCATGCCACGCTGCAGGCATGTTTCCCATGGATGTTTTCTTGCACCCTGTAACCCTGGGCCCATGCACGTTAGAATGATTGTTTGGTTGAAGCACAAGGTTTCTTAGGTTGAACACTTGCTTTCACGAATAAATGTGGATCTTTGAAGAGTGGCCTCAGAGTAAACCACCAACTCTTTGCAAATTATGTGAATTCCTATTCATCTATATAGTTGGCAACAACTGGGAATTAGAATTCCTGATGGTTCAAAATCTGTTTCAGCTGTGCTTTTTTTTCTGCCACGCTGAGTTCACAGCAAGTGTGTGCAACTGTGACTTGGCTGTGTAAAGTTGTTTACATGTGGCCCAAGCAAGGAGAGGCGGCCCACATCTCCACCTGGTCATAGCACAAAGACAACCTGCTTTGAATGTGTGCCGAGGCCACATATGGAGAAGCTGGGTGGTGCAGAGCAAAGCACTGGCCTCTTGAGGACTATTGTAAGTGTGTATCTATCAGGAGGAGGTGGAAGCAAGTGGTTTGTTGGCAGGATTTTGTATAGTTTAGAGAAATGACTATTTATTGGGGAACCATTTTCTACTTCAATTCCTTTATAGGCTCTGTTATACGTGAAGTCACTGTATATATAAATGTATGTATGTATGTATATGTATAGATAGACAGATAGGTAGATTGTAAATTGTGTTTTAAATGCAAGCTCATATTCTTTAGAGCTGGAATTATTATTGAAGAGGCATGCGCACTGTTTGGCACAGCAGGGAGATGGTATCTCGGAGAGAAATTCATTCATGGTGCGAATGCTGAGAAAATGCTGTCGAATGAATAATAAAAAAAAAAGTCTGAAAGTTTGCTCTGATTTGTGGGGTTTTCCTTCCTGTTGGTAGGTGCCTGGCTGCACATCAGCTTTTCATGGCCTTCTGCAGATGAGAGGTGGGAGTGAGAATTTGGGAAGTAGAATCCACCTAAAGTCAATTAGGGAGTGAGATGAGGAGCAGTTTGAATATTAAGGAAGGAGTGGGGTGTGGGGACCATCCAAAGGAGAGAAAACATTCAAGGCAGGTAGGCAGAGGGGGTGTGGGGAGATGGTTGGCACCTTCCCTTGCTACTACTGTAGCTTCACACAGCCAGGTCACTTCACCCCCAACACTGCACTGGGGAATTGGGGGAGGGAAAGGGGACCTTGAAGTCACCATGGGGTGGCATGCTTAAGCCTCTCAACACATCTGTCTGGGATGGGGTGCTAACAGGGAGTGAGTTTTCTCTCCCTCCACCGCCTCCAATCTCCCTATCCCCTTCTGACTTAGAGACCTTCAGCGGGAACATGTAGACAAAGGCAGAGACTCAGCCAAAGAGCAAAGATAAATCCAATATTCCGAGTAGCCTTGATCACTATCCAATCTGAGAAAACCCAAGAGCCTCTTCTTTTAATTAAACTCATTTTAGAGAGTTTTGACTTTGATGAATTGAGAGTTGGGTACTAATTTATTCAGCAGGATGTGGAAAATGGCACAGCAGGAGCTGCTGGTGTTCCTGGGGGCGGGTGGGGGGGTACCGACAGAGCTGGAAGCTGGTAGCCCTTCGAGCGGCACCAAGAGCAAGGGTGGACAGTGGGGAAGGTCCAAGTATCAAGTGCGAGATGTGATGAATTTTCCTGGTGCCTGGAAGAGTAATGAACAGACTCTCTATGGAGTGTGAACAGGGCCAGCTGCAGAAATTGCAGGGCCTCACTGAGGAATGAAGGGCGGAGAGGAGGCTCTTCTGAGTGTGCCCATGTGGCCGGGGCAGCAGCAGGGGTGGGAGGCAGGATCCTTCTGAGCATGCCCCAGCGGCCTTTTCAGGAAGTATACAGAAAAGGGCTGTGGAGTCTGGACACCTGGATTTGCTACCAGCTTCTAAGTAGCACCCACCTTATACTCACTCATTCCAGTTTCCTTATGTACAAAATGGCCGCAATGTAAGCAACCCTGTCTACCTCACAACTTTTTCAAGAGAACAACTCAAGTATTTACATCTTCAAACTTGCTCAGAACTAGTCCCAGTTCTTGTTATTTATTTATTTATTTTATGGAAAGTTGCACGTGGAAGCCTGCTTTGGAGTCAAGGACGTACTTCAAAGTAAGAGTTACTTTGGTTTATAGAAATGTGTCAAGGTAGTCAATATTCTCCTCCCTAGAAACTTCCCCAAAACTCCAAATCTTACATGCAAATTCCTAAGTACTCTATCTGAAAGTTTAAGCACATACAGTTACCTATTGTTTAGTACAGTATAAATCTACTTGAGCCCTTCTGTCACTGAATCTACAATTTCTTTTTTCTGTGTTGGCAAGGATGCTCAGAACTGCTGAGATGTGGATGGTACTTAGTGCATGGAAATTGTAAGAATCAGTAACTGTCAGGGGCCAGAATGAATGAACATAACAATCTTTTGGCATGCCTGTCTTGTTAACCCTCCCGGCATTCTAGAATCATGTACTCAATAAATGAGAGAAGCAGGGCTGAGAAGTGGAAAAGGTAGATGTGTCAGGGATTCATGGTGGAGAAAAACAATCCTATGGGACAGCGGAGGGTATACCACAAATAAGATTGACATTGCTGCTTCCCTCTCAGCCTTCCTCTTTCCCTTTCCTTTCCTTATTCTTCTGTCCCTCCCCTTCCACCATCTTTTTTTTTTTTTTTTTGCTATTATGAATCTACCTTGTGGATCTTCCTGCTAATTCACATAACAGGAGCCACCAGGGGCCAGTTTGCTCAGCCTTCAACACCACATGTGGAGACTGATACCCTCATAGGGCCATAATCCCCTTTTCACAGCCCCTTCTTATTCACAGGAGGGGATATTTATAACAAAGGATCCTGCTTCTTCTCCCTTGAATTGCATAGCAAGGGTTCCCTTTGCCAATCTTGGTTTTAGAAGTGACCAACCCCAGAAAGAGAGAAGAGTCAGACACAGAGACACGGAGATGGGTGACCTTCACTCAACATAGGGACTATATAATTCACAATAAAATGAGATAGTACCAAGGAAATTTTTACCAAAGGAGGGGCCTTGGCCCTGCCAGGGAGCCAGGGGAGACTTCCTGGAGGAGTGAGTAAGAGCCAGTCAAGTCAGGACACTTGGGAGGAATAGCCCAAATAAGGGGTAGAGCCTGAGGCTTGGAAAAGAACGGGGAAGGGCCCTGAAGGGTGGGTCAGAAGATGAGCTGTGAGGCAAGAGAGTTCCTGTGAATTTGGAACCCTCTTGGCATACCTGAAGTGAGCAGAGTTTCTACAACTCACTTTCCGAATGGCTGGTTGGTGCCTTGATAGGTTCTTTGTCTTGCTGTTTCTCAACCCAGCCCAGGATTGGGCCTTCTGACTTCTTCCCACCATCTTCTCACAAGAAGAGTGGCCCTGCAGATGAACTTCCCAGAGAGTTGACCCCTGACAAAGGCCTTGAGGGCCAGGGAATAGGGCATTTGTTTTGCCATGTGGAGTGCTAATCGAATGTACCCACTGAGTCCTAGGGAAGAACAGGGTTCAGTACCCACCGAATCCTAGGGAGGAGCAGGGCTCAGTACACATTGTAAACAAGAAACATTTTTTCCTTCTAAAATACTTGGCTTTCCTGCTGTGTCACTATTAGTAAATATTTTACTATTTTTCATACACAGCAAATATCTTGGCATTGCTGTTACAAATACTCTTTCCTTGTAACTGGAAAATCACCACAGTCAGTATGTGACTGTCCAATTTCTATCTCACCTAGATGTCATCGGTCAGTGGGCTGGATGGCTAGCCATTGCAACTCAACACCTCTGCCATAAAGCACTCGGTAGTGAATGTCTCCATCTTTGTCTTAAACCTTGTAACGGATAGTTTTGCTGGGGATAAAACTTTAGGTTAACAGCTATCATGCCTTGGTTGTCTGATGACGTTATCCCATTCTTTTTTGATGCCACTTAAAAGCCTTCTCTAAAATCAACCGTCCTTTCTTTGTAGGCCATTTTTCTTTTCTTTCTGGTGACTTTAATGCTTTTATTAAATCTCTGGTGTTCTGCAGCTTCAGTGAAAAGTAATCAGGGTAGGATAACATTTACTCTTCAGTTTGTACCAACTAGCATCGGTCATCACTTTTCAGGACTCTCTCCCAGTTATTTGTGAAAGACTTAGGGCTTTCTCACCCAACAGGGCTGCTCTGCCCTTCTGTGGCCTTTTAGTGATGATTACTTGAATTTAACTTAAGGTATATATTTTCTCCATTTCTCTTTTGCTTGTGTATTATGTTTCCTTTTCCTTTCTTGGATGGTACCGGGGTTTGAACTCATGGCCTCATACTTGCCAGGCAGGCCCATTACTATTGGAGTCACCCTC